TTAAAATATTACGTAGTTATAGATACGTCGTGTTGTAAAATATGTAACATACGATTCAAGGGCTTTGTCTTTGCGTCTAATGTAATATTTAATTAACTATACGTCAAAATTAAAAGGAAATTAACCCAGTGAAACAAGATAAATAACATTTGTCTACATTAATTTATTCTTTTATGTCGTGCCCAAGTTATAATATTATTTTATACGAGTCTCGCGTACGGCGGGATGTTTCAGCTGGTATTTTGGTCCGGGCCGCCTGGTAACACTGAGCCGCCTGTCTCGGTGCATGTGCGAATGTGAAAACGGCGGGAAAATCTGACTTTATCATCGGACATTTGTTTACAATGTTTACATTAACTATTTTTTTTTCTCCTTTCGAGTCTTACGTCGGTACACTTCGACTATACGCCACACCATCTCCTCTGCGAATTTGACCGGACGCAATATTATTGTTTCCCATCGTTTTTGTTTTTTCGCAATTTGTGTTCATTTCTTTACGTGTAGTGACGCCCTCAGGACTTACGACGTTTGTCGATCGACTTTCCATCCAACTGACCGATTTTGGACGACGTCATCGAGTTCGCTGCAAGTACCAGATTTTCGGTACTTCCTGTGCCTATCCCAATACGACGGCCAACGCGACATGCAGGTATGTTTTTGCGTGCACGATAGGAATGATTTATTATTCTTACATAACATTATTTATATTTTATACCTGATATATATATTACAAAAAATACCTATCCACTTACTTACCTTTATGTATGGTTGTGTGTATGTGTGTGTGAACTCGGGCGCGTGTGTCACGTCTTGCGGAATTATTTTACAGAGCACTGTGAAGAGCAGACAGTTTGTGAAAGAAGGTCCCACAAAAAATGTCAGCATCAATGTCAACTATGACAAGCTGGAGCAGATTGGCGAAGGGACTTACGGGGTCGTGTACAAAGCATTAGACAAGCAGACCGGCAAGTTTGTCGCTCTGAAAAAAGTTAGGATGGAATCGTAAGTTTTTTTTGTTTCGACAGCTGCTAGGTTAGACTTGGTTGTTATTCTTGCCAGAAATGCAAGTCTCCACTTGGCCATTTGTCATAATATCTCTGCCAGTCTCAAGATAATTTTCCCCGCTTGACTGCTTGTACTATCCTTGTGTGTATGTATGTTGTAACCATTTTTCTTAAATTGTACAGAAGTGCAGAAGGTGTACCTTCTACAGCCATGAGAGAGATTTCATTGTTGAAGGAAATAAACCATGAAAATGTTGTTAAACTCCATGATGTCATTATGTCTGACAAGAAATTGTTTTTAGTATTTGAATTTATGGACTATGATTTAAAAAAAGTATTAGAATTGCGCAGAAAAGAATTTGGATTTGGATTACCTGAACCTCAAATCAAGGTAAGATTAAATTAAAGGAATACAATTATAGATACCTACTACTATAATATAACACCATCAACCTCATTTAATAGAGATGATATTAATAGGTAGTTCCTGTTTATTAATAATTGCACACTAACAAAATAAATATTTTCTGCTTAGATTTAGTCAAAAATTAAATTAAATAGGTAAAAATTATTTTTGTATACTTAATTAAGAAATTTAAGTTCTAAATTTTTTTAATTTTAAATTTATTGAAAATGTCTTGGGTAGTTTAAGTTAGTTTTCTATTACAGACCTTATATTCTTATGATTTATGACATGTATTTTGTACTATACTTACATAGACAATTACACTAGGTACATAGGTACATAACAATATCATATGAAATATTATAATTGTTTACTAAATTGTAACATATTTTTTCAAAACAATAAAACAATTATTTTTAGGTTTAAAAACAGGGGACTATATTATTATAAACATGGTTTATTCATTTTCAATGATGTGTAATTTTTTTAGTGTGTGTCTGATAATACTTTTTATATTAGAAAAAATTATTTAATATTCAACTTTAAGGGTTGTTTCTGGTAGCAAATTAGAAGTAGTTTGTACAATAAAGGGAGGGGGGGATCTAAAGAAAAAAATTGTCAGGTCAGACTTTTCATAATACTTTGAAATTCCAAAAAAAAAAATAATAAATAAAAACTTGTTAAAATGTCTGTATTGTTATTAAAACAATTGTTTAATGTCTTTGATAACTTTGGTTTGATACCAATGTACCTATGATCAAGGATAATATATATATATATATATATATTATGAGCAATCGCTCATAATAATAATAATGTTTCATTGTATTCAATGATATGTCATTTTATTAAAATTTGAGTATCTGACAAGATACACTAGACCAGTGCTTCTCAACCTTTTTTCACTGCAATACACTAATTTAAATTGATACAAACGGCAACACACTTAAAAAACTAATTGAATTTTTGAAAAAGCATCAATTATAAACCCATATGTAAATTTAGAACGAGACTATCCTCACAATTGTTTTCTTATCCGTGATTACAACATAACACCATAATAATGTCATATTTATGCTTTGACCACGTACAATATAAATATACAATTATTTTTGATGACACATTATTAGATTTTGCGACCTACCAGTTAAATACCTCTACCCTATATATCTATAATTCTGTATAGTTAGGTGATTACCTACTTGACGTTTTTTAGATGCCAAGCCTAGCGATAAATATATTGATTTTACAATAATATGTAATTTTCATTTTTTATTTTTATGTGTGACATATTCTAGTACAAAAAATGCTCTGATTATGAACTTAAACAGTGGCTTCTTACAGCAAATTGAATCTAGTTGGTACTTTTAGGAGGTCAAAATTGAAAATTCTGTCTTCTTTTTTTAAAATAATTGGGAAGTACTAAAAAATAAAACTAACATTTTAATATTATTATGATCTAAAAAGTCTTAACTTAGAACTGCATTCATTGTATACAATGATTTAACATTGAATTAAAATTTAACAAATCCATTACAGTGCCTACTCAATGACAAGGTACACTCCACTTCTACTGTTCAGCAGAGCATTTACCTGCTTTTTTTTTAAAATGTTTAATAGATTTACTAGAAAATAAAATTAGTTTTTAAATAATGTAGTTTTATCTAATAACATTAAAATTATTTTACATTTGTATTGGCCTGAGAATATAATAATTTCTCAATTTGAGATTTATCCATTAAATAATTATCAAAAATAAAAATTAATTTTTTCATAACTACCCTCCTCTCTTCCATTGAGAACCAATAACAATAGAGGGATTGTTTTCACTGTTTTTCCCAGAAGATTACTCTTGATCCTTAAGTACCTATGTTAATAGCTCATGACAAGTTCATTTGTTCAGTTTTTTGATTTTTTTTAAAGTGAATGCTTAGTAACTTAGTATACTTGCTCAAGTATCACTGAAATAATATAATAAAATTATTATTAGTTAATACTTCATTAAACTATTCTTGATACATATCTTGTACGTATGATAAAATTCATTAATTTTATTTTGACTTTATTTGCTTATTTTTAATATTTTTGAAAGTACTTTTATAAAATTGTTTTAAAATTTCAGAGTTACTTATACCAAATACTAAATGCATTAGCATATTGTCATATCCATCGCATAGTTCATCGAGATCTGAAGCCACAAAATCTTTTGGTAAATACTGCCGGTGGTATAATCAAATTGGCAGACTTTGGATTAGCTAGAGCATTCTCATTTCCCCTACGTAACTATACACATGAAGTTATAACTTTATGGTATAGAGCTCCTGAAATATTGTTAGGAGCTAAGGTGTATACCATGGCTGTAGATCTTTGGAGCCTTGGGTGTATATTCACAGAAATGGTAAGTTTTTGAAATGCATTTATTTTGTATCTTTTTTTTCTGTAGAATTCTACAAAAGTTTTAATTGAAAACGTGATTGTTGGAAAAACATGATAATTCAAACTTTATGTTTTTATTATGTTATTTTATATAAATAGATGACTTTAAGGCCATTATTTCCGGGGGACTCAGAAATTGACCAGTTATTTAGAATTTTTCGGACTCTTGGAACTCCAACAGATGTCACATGGCCTGGAGTACATAAATTACCAGATTTTAAACCATTATTCCCACTATGGGAAGCACGTCTTATTGAAGAATTCTTACCTGAACTCTCTGATAAAGATCAACAAAATGTTTTTTATGTGAGTAAGAGTGTTTATTAACAGAATAATAAAAACACTAACAATATTATATAAATATTAATATCAAAACAAAAATATCTACAGCCACATAAAAAATAAAAATGTGTGCTAGTTGAGTAATGAAATTAATGTTATAAACATATTATTATTAATTTCATTGTTATACCTATAGGTATAATAGTGGTTTAAATTTTAATGATGATGTTGGTTATTTTTATTATTAATGTATACCTTGTGATAATCAAGGTATCTTGATTAGTGGTTCTTAGCATTGATTTGGATAGATTTTATATACTAAAAATGTATTTAATAAAATAATATAATTTGTTCCATTGATACAGGATTATATATCTATCATTGATTTTATTAATTTTAAAATATAATAGTGGTATCCAATAAAACTGAAATTATCTGCATAAAGAATTAAAAAGTATAGCAAAGTCTCTTAATACATCAAATATTTATATTACATAACTATTATTTTATTATAAATGTCTTATAAATAGGTTCAAGTGAAACTAAGAAAAAATGTCATTAAAAAGTCTAAGATTTATTTTCTATGTTATATTTTATGTATAAAATACTGAATGTCTTATTATATTGAAAAATAATCACAACATTTCAGATTGTGAATTACTGTTTCTCAGTTAATGAGTATATGAAAATAACTTTAGTTTGGTATTATAATTAATAATCTTTTATTTATTTATTTTTTAATCACAATTATAAAATACCACATTTTTCAATAATTTAAAAATTAAATCAATAATATAAGCTTATTCTTAGAGATGTTAAATGTAAGTCACCATAATTTTATTATTATAATTAATGTGTTTTTCTTTAACAACAGGCAATGTGTACCTACAACCCGGCAAACAGAATGTCTGCTGAAAAAATATTGGAAATGGATTATTTTCATAGTTTAAGACTGGCATCTCTACCGGAAACCCCTTAAATAATATCGATCATTTTTAACTTTTTTTTAGTGAGTTATGAATATCTGGTTTATTTTGGAGTGTTGAGTACATTCTAGTTATACCAAATTAAATTTTAAATTTTAAAGTGTAAATAGTTAGTGAAATACTACCATTGACCAAAAGTTAAAATTTAAGTTAATATTATGACTTGCTTTGGGCCAAAAACATATGTATAAAAAATAATCGACACGAGTTCAAACCTGTAACAAGATTAATGTATTTCATTTTTTTTTCTTTTTGTTGAAAATTTTACTTTATTATGTACTGAATTTTGTTTTGATTTTTTCCCCTTATTAATTTTTGTTTAGTTAAATATGCAATTTATCCCATAATTACTCTTGTACTTACTGTATTATATTTTGATTTTGTATCAGTATTTGAATTAGGCCATTTATTAATTATTATTATTATCATCACACAAATGTGCATATTGTACCATATATTATCTAAAACATTAAATTCCAACATCTCAACTATGCTGCTAATATCAGGAACTGTAAATGTAGTAACCTCATGTCACATCTGGAATGTTTTTATGAAAACGTTCTGCACAATAGATGGAAAAATACATAGTTCTTAAATTTTGATTACATCTTATCATTTTTTTGTTTTAACTGCCTCTTCGGGTATAACTATGTTATTGTGTAGTGAAGGTGATCGAATGTATGCTGATCGTCTAGGCCCTCCTTTGGTGTTGTCTGTTGCTATTTTATTGTACAAATCCTCCTCGCTTGTTGGTGTAACGACAATTTTCACATGGCTTTTGGGTCGTTCGTCGGGGCTATATAACTTCATACTTAATGGACTTTTCAAACTAGAACTCCTCCGGAGCTATGCAACAATGAAATGCAATAACGACAATATTGTTGTAGTGTTACAAAAAGAGATAATAAAGTTATATTTTAAAATCGATAAAACTTAGTACAAAATGATGCTTTTTACATTAGATTATTATTAATACGTACAAGTACCAGCGAGTGTTTTACGGTAGTGCAAACATATTATTCAGTAATAATCAATATATGATAATATGTGCTCTGGCTTTAATAGAGCCTTATCAAAAGCATTAATACTATATTATATTATTATTATATAATGTGTACTTCGAGTATGAAATACGTAATAACAAAATAACGCTTATGAAGTGATGATGATGGTAGTCTAAATGTCTTGTTCAGCTACATTGCCGGCCTGCGATGATCTCGAGCTCTGTAAATAATCATTAAAGCTGTGCAATTTATACAAATGTTGTGATGTTTGATACATTTACGTTTAGTGCCTATTAAAGCCCTAGATACGAGGTGTGAGAATAATTTAATATAGTGGTTAAAAATGTATGTAATGAATAATATATAAGTTGATACATATATAATTATAAACTGTTGATAATAATTATTGGTGGTCAAGAAGCTAAACCTACTTCAACTTGTCCGTGATTAAATATAGAAAGTTTTTTTTTAATACCTTTGAGCTACTCATAGTTAATGTAACGAATATGATAAATATCATTATAAAACTGTTTTTAAAGCAGTAATTGAACAAATAAATTAGCTACTCGTTATCCAGATCAGTTGTACGAGTATTATTTTGTATAATTTTAAGTCCTTGTAATATAAATATATAATACTGCATTATTCAAGAAAAAATCTATTTTTTTTAATGTTTTCTTATGGTTTTACATTTTTTCTGCAAGTAGGTAATGGGTACTTATTTGAATTTCAAAATAGGGGAGTATAATATACCAACTATATTATATATATTAGTATTGCACTAATCCGCTCATCTTGCATCTTTAATTATTGTGAATGTTCATAAAGACAATTTTTTTTTCTTATGTCGTCTTTGAATGAAAAAAAATATGTTATACAATGTAACGTGATGACAGTACAAAAAATATTACGATTTTTCAAAACATAAACAGTTTACGCTAGATAATGATAGCCTCTTTAGATACCGATTCTGCGTTAAAACAATCGCCATATTATATCTTAATTGCCTCTACTGCATACTTATACTTTACCTACATAATATAGACTTAATAAAATAATAATATCAATAAAATAAAGGATAATATATTTTACCTGCGTTTTTGTTGGCGTTCCGATCTGTCCCGCAGTCGTCTGTTTTATGTAACTCTTGTCATCAAATATTTTCACCTCTCCACCCCCTGGTCGGTGTTTCATGTTGTCCAACGAGCCGACCTTGCTCTGGGCTTTTATGTCCAATTTTTGATCCTCTATCTATATACATTCATATAATACGCCTTTAATAATATAATAGGTACATATCAAAGCAATAATAGTTAGGTATGTAGGTATTTTATATGCGATTTATGTGCACGTAAAACGGAAACAGCGTTGGTACATTTTTATAGCGCAGCAATCCGTTGTCTCGAATATTATAGTTTTATTTTATGTGTGTATGTTTATGAACTACCGATGGAGATAAATTGTATGCAGAGTGCTTCACCAAGCTTGCCCACCCCACATTTATTTTTACTTTCGGGTATATAATATTACCGTTGAATTTTTCTTAAAAATGTCCGAATGACCACGAATGATTGGTGCCAGTTCAGCCAACGGCCATAGTCAGACCCTAAAAGTCTAAACTCTTTAAAATAACAATCTTAGGTATTATAACCACCGCATTAAATAATAATTGCATTCCGTAAATTTTGTTGCACTTCTCCGAAGCTCCCCGCCTAGCTTTCAATTGTCATGTAAATTATAAAATAATTAAAAGAATTGTAAATATAGGTAGGTTCCTACCAGAAAATAGGCAGGTACCTAAATTATGTTTCGACCGGGTAAATTTACGGCGTTTTTCAACATTCACACATAATGATATTGTAAAACTTTACGGTGGGCTGATTGATGATTATTGATTATAAAAATAGTAACATTATTCTGTAACACTGTAGTACGAATTTCTTCTATCGCTTTGTACAAAATAATATTTGAAACGGATTGCTGGTGTTTTATACGTCCACAAATAACACACTTAAAAACGATTTAGGTATATGCTGTAATATGAATAAATATTTGCAGAGACCAAAAAATGAACACAGAACAATCAGTGTGTAATATATATAATATATAAAATAAAGACTGTGGAAACGGTGTACTGTTATAATATTTAGGTATATAAATGTATAATAATATTATATAGTATTGCAGTGTAAGACATGAACACGCACACTCGTTTGTACAAACAGTTATGCATATTCTATAGGTATATTTTAACTCCCTAAATATATGTATAATATGCATTAAGCGTTGTGACTTGGTGAATATATATTTATTATTATATTACGAGTAGGTACCTCCTGCTATATACATATATATGTGTGTATATAAACAAAACACATACAATATATTATATAGGTACATACGCGTTTTGCGACCTAATTGTTTATTTACTCACGTCGTGCGATTCCTTTTCTAATAATTGTATGGATTGGCTCTAAAAAATTAAAATATGGTTTTCCATAAAAAAAAATTACACAGCCTTCTTGATAAAAAATATAATGACGAAGTCATTACATGATGACTGCTCTAAGAATCTGTTCGAAGTTAAATTTAAAAACAAAGTTGTAATAAACCTTAACAAAAAGTAGAAAAAAAATTTCATGAGCATTAATTAAGACTCTGAAATTATAACAACTATAGGTATTTGGTACCTAGGTAAGTATTTGACCAATATCGTATAAGATTTCATAACACAAATAATATGTATTAGGTACCTACCTATACCTAATAATGGTATTTGATTATAAACAAAATTAGTCAAAATATGTAAAAAAAATCCATCAAGTATTAATTATAAGTTATAACATTATCTTAACCCAAATATAGTAGGTACCAGCTATAGTTAGGTATTTCTGTAGATCATTTAGGCGGTGACATTTAACTGTACTCGGGAAGGTCAAACATTTTTTTTTTAAATGATTCTTTCATTTATATAGAACACATTATGTATTCAATAAACAAACATAATGTTTCTCTTACAGAAAAAAATTAAAAAAATTTCTTTTTTTATTTTATTTTTAAAATCTTTAATAAAAATAAATAATGGTTACTCATCAGCGGAATGAAAAGGGTCAGGGCGTCAGGCCAAAGATAAAATCCACAAAAATAGAATACAGCTTATAAATAGGTAGGTATCTAGAAGTTTTAAAATAATAACAAATCGTTCAAATATTATAACTTAGGTATTTTATTTAGCTATAAAATAAAAATGTTCGTTAATGTGACCTTTTTTAGAAGGCTTGATTATTATTTGAGTGTACTTTGTGCTCCTTTAAATTCTATTTCCACCGTCACCTATAAGTGGTATATATAATATTTATTCCTTATGGTTAAGCCATAAATTTTAAATCAATAAGTGAAATACAATAACGGATATTTGTATATGGTATATGCGTCGACCGAACGATATTTTCCACGAATTGTGAGGTTTTAAATAGGTATAAGTACATTTGTTAATGTAGAATTATTTTTTAAAGTGGTATGTCCAAGTCATTCGATTAATAGTTCAAACTGATATTAAAAAATTCATAAGTCATAAAATATTTAAATTGCATCGATTGTGAATGTTATAATATTTCATACTTTAATTTTAATAGGTACCTATATCGTATATCAGAATATTATTATCTTGGGGGAAATGGAAATGTTTGTTCTTTTCATATAATGCCATGAAATTTTTCCCAGGCACACAAAATAATTATTATTATTCTACCCGGGTCCCAGATAATATCTAATTTATATTTCATCGAAGTATAATTAATAATTATCATGTTTTTGCGATTTGAAATAAGAAACAAATACAGTTTGATAATTGTATTTCAATTTCAAAAATAATATATAAGATAATTAATTATAAGAAATTCTGAAGTGTTTGAGAAATTTTGATTCTAGTATTTAGTTGATGACCTCAAATGTATCAAATCTCTAATACTTGGTGTCTATAAATTATTATATTCATAACTACCTATAAGACATTATAGTATCCTATTTTTTTGACCAAGTACAATAAAATAAACCGATCTAAAAACACCAACTTTTGAACTCAAAAATAGAAAACAATATCATATTTCGTCGTGTTATATTAAAAATTTAAAACGAATCAACTTTTGTATTATAATATTAACACGTATAATTCAGACGACATTACGAAAGTACGATACAAATATAATATGGTAGGTAATTAAAAATTAGTAATTACATAGTATAGGTAATCAAATTGAGATCGAAATTTGATGAAAAAAAGTAGTTTTATAATATTTGTTTACCACCACTGCTATTATTATAACATTACCTTGACTGCTCCTCCGCCGGGAGTGTGTTTAATGTTGTCTTTGGACCCAATTTTCGGTTTTGCCTTGTCTTTAAAATCAAGCTTGACGGTTTCAATTTTTTTGTCACCACCCCCAGGCTTGTGGGTTTTGTTGTCCAGTGAACCTACTTTAGGTTTGGCATTCCACTGCAGCTTAACACTTTGAATCTAAAAAAATAAACGTAACAGGTTAAAGTTGTATTAATAGCCATACCTACAATTCAAATTTCAAATTAAATAAATAAGAATAAAAATAATAGGATGAGATAATATAATATATTATCATCTTATGATTTAATAATTATATTATACTATATTATATTATATGTACTGGTTGAACTAGCATGCTAATTTTGCTTAACAATTTTAATTGTTTGATTAAAACGTTTCCGTTTTCACAATTTCCCCGCCAATTAACCAAGTACTCAAATATTACATCAACATTTTTGTAGGTATCCGATTTAATTTTCCAAAGTAATTTTTTTGAACCCGTGACTTGCACTAGCGCCACTAAGAAAGTAATCACGTGCTACCTATTAATAGTACCTACCCTATGAGATTTTAGTGCGTACAGTGTGTAAAGCTATTATACAAAAATCAATTAATATTTTAATATTATATTAAATTTTAAAGTATATTCACTGCAAGGCGTAAAGCAATACAACATCATTCACAATGACTATAATTAGCACACATACGGACAATGTCCCGTCCACGGTAATGGGCCGTATATCGTGCATTCGTGCCTGATAATAATGATAATAATAATAATACCCATAATATATTATTACCTTTTTGTCGCCACCGCCGGGAACGTAAGCGTCGTTTTTGGCCTCGACCCTCGTACCGGCTTTCCACTCAAGTTTTCTGTTTTCGATTTTCACTTGTCCGCCTCCCGGTTTGTGACTGGTGTTCTGCAGTGACCCGACTTTCGACCGGACTACCTTGAGATTCGGAGATGGCGCAGACCCCACTTGCACTTTGTTCATCGGCAACTCTACGGGACCAAAACGGCATAAATTACAAGTACAATATATTATATAGCGATGAACAGTTTATGGAATATTTTTCATTCGATTCCATCACATGCCCGTGGTTGAAGTCACTCACTCTTCTGTCCGATGGACATCACGCTCTCCGCAGGAGACTTTGGTGTGACGGCTCGGGTGGGAGTTTTCAATTCTGAACGGTCTTTTTTCGGGATTTTGCTCGGCGACTTGCCCACATCGTTGTCGTTCTGACGATCACTCTGTATGTCGACAACAGTAATAAACGTATTACTATTATGGTCGTAATAGACATAATCTATTATGATAATAATTTATAATAGTGGTTGTGTAGTGTACCTACAAAGATGATATTCTCTTAGACTATATGTATTAGGTATCTAGGTAGGCTTAACCGAATAGATACACGCGACCTACAACGAGGAGGAGTTATAAGCAATAAATACACTGTAATGAACTTACTTTTGAGTTTGAAGAATCTTTGAGGGGGTCATTGTCTGTAAAATACAATTAGACAAAAACAAATTGATTAATATTTTATTATTTTTTCTTATATGAATATAAAATGTATTGTGAACGTAGGTATAATCACTATAATATAGACGTGCAGTTTAAATTATTTTCGACATAATATCATTATATCTATAGTAATACGTAGGTATATATTATATAGGTAGTTTTAATAATTTACATATACGCTACTACTATATGAGTAGGAGCAGTAATTTATCACACATAATTTTATTGATTAACAATTACATTTGAATAGACATGGCATATTTATGCAAAAAACGTACCGACGCATATGACAACCATATGTCTATATATATGTTATACAATAAATAATAATATATGAATACATTGGTATCTAATATGTATATGCTGTGATACGTGATAGTATGATTTATGATTTATTCTTATTATACAATTGTGTGTAAAATATGGTATACTTAAAATGATTCAACCGCGATTCAGTGACCACGTGCAGTGGTGTCGAATGTGCATCTCTCAAGTGTCATCTATATAAGCACTCCTACAGTGGCTTTTGTGGGACACCGCATGATTTTCATAATGCAGTAAACATTTATATATTTTTATACCATGAGCAGGAAGGGTGGAGGTATAATAACAATAATAATATTCTATGGTATTTTAAATCACCGATTTAAAAGGATTTTACGGCGCCATCGTATATCCGTATAATAGCGGAGAGAGGCTAAGGGAGCTTTAGCCCCCCCACCTACCTCCTCCCGATTTTTGTTTACCTCCACCACCGTACATTATTTTTTAGTTACATTTTTAAAATACGGTATTTATGGAATAATATAATATAGTTAAACAATACCGTGTCGTATACACTTGACGTTGCGGTATAAAAATACTGCAAGGGGGATGAGGTGACCGAGTGGTCTGACGCGTCCGCTGCGACGCAGCCGGTCGCGGTTCGATCCTCGGCTACCGGGCGGCATTTTTCTCCGGACAAGTCGCGGTGACCGGAGAACAAGTGCTGCCATCCCCCACCCCCGGGGCATGGCAGAAACCTACGGGTGCCCCATTCGAAATTCTGCCAAAA